TTGAAATCAGCGTCCCAAAAACCTTGTAATGAATATAGTATGAATACCGCAGTAGTTGTATTGATAGACATGCTTCGGCTTCAAATACTATTACAACTGCTAGCATATTAGTAATATTTTCAGCATAATTTATTAATTTGTTATGTAGCTATCATTCGGCACAAAATTAGTACAATTTTCTGTAATCAAATCATGTGGCGTGCAAATCTACGCCTCTGTTATACATCATGAAGCTTTGTTATGTAATAATCCCTATCATATTAAAATTGACTATCAAGCCAATGTCAGGATTTATTACATTTTTTGTGTGATTACATCTCGCCGCAAGCATGAATATTCCTATGATATTTTTGATTATTGCTCTTTGTTGTATTTGCCATATTAGGGTGAGTTTTTAAAAACATTTTCCTCCATTATGTGGATATCTATGTATTATTTTTGTTTGAATATTATTGATTATGCCAAGAACATTACGAAAAACCATGTCACTCGTTTCCGTCGATCTCTCGGTATGTCGGTCTGTTGGTCGGTCTGTCCGCTAATCCATGGCACCTCCTTGACTTGGAAAGCACTGCGAAAAGATGAAAATCGCTCAGACTGCGTTTTCTTTTTTTGACACCTTAGAGGATCCTGATCACTTTTTAAAAAAATGTTAGGGGTAAAAAATTGGAGTTGGGGGTAGTTGCTTTATACCAGAGCTCCAAAGAAACGAGGCTACCGCGTACGGACACGCTCATTGCTTTAATATAAGGAATTTTTTTTCATGAACAGCAGAAATAGTGCACTTATGGTTCTGACGAAACCCACGTATTTTGATGCCATAGCACTACACGGAAAATTGTACTAAAAGTTATTTTAAAGGCGTGGAATGTATAGTGTCAACTTGACCACATTTTTTTTTATATTTTATTTCGTCAGATAATTTGCAGGCTTCGAATATTTTGTGACATAGCTGAGCATCGGAAAATTAATTTTGTTCTAATTTTCAATCGAGTATACCAGGGTTTCCCAACCTTTTTTTTTTGTTGAGGCTCACCGGACTATAAATTATATTTTCATGCCTCTCTTTACTTTATCAATAAATACAAAGAAACGCACATTATATATATACAGGGTGACTTTGAGTCATTAATTTTCAGATAATGATTGTAGAAGGAAGATAAACCAAAATATGTGTGTAAAAATAAAAAAAAATTAAAAAAAAAATTTTACCTTGTTTTATAAAGTATCCTCCCGACAAGTATTTCAGTGCGGACCTGTATTTGATCGTGAGGTCTTGGAGCACCGGCATGCCGTCACCTGATTCACGAGCCCGTTGTACTACATTAACAAAGGCACGAGGGGTTGGTTGCACTCGATTGGGAAACAGATCCGCATAAACATGTGCCATTTTTTATTTCGTTTGAGCCACGCAACAGACACTACTATTCACTGACGCGTTACCGACTGACACTGACTGTATACAACACAACTGAATAAAATAATTGCAAAAACATCGTTCCAAATTCTTTCGCTTTTTTGTTTCCGATGTGATGAACCGATAAGGCGGATTATATCCGTTGTCGCCAAACACGAGCACATAATATTATTATTGAGACAGGGCGGTACTCAAACTTCCAAAGGGCTATAACTTTGTTACTTTAATTTTACCAGAAAAATGGTAAAGGAAAAAAACATTTCTTTTGATCAGATCTACTCACTGTTAAAATAAATGACTCGACTTCGAAGTCACCCTGTATATATCAGGGATTTTAAACATTTCAGTGAGGATGATTTTCTTATCGATCCTTCTACATCGGGCATAGATGAATTATTTACGAAATCTAATATAGATGAAAAGGTAATGCATATTACAAGCGTTATCGTGGAAACCTATAATAAACATGCACCTTTTAAAACTGTAAGAGTTAATAAGCCACCATCACCTTGGTTAACTAATGAACTGCGCACTGTTCTTGATGAAAAGAATACTGCACAAGCTTTATATAAAACTAATAAGACCGTGGACGCCTATAATAACTTTAAATCGCTTAGAAACCGTGCTCTTAACATGATCAGGAGGGACAAAAAGACATATATCGAAAACTTGGCAAATGAAAATGATTCAAAAAAATTGTGGCAGTCTCTCAAACAACTTGATATCAATTTTCGTAGTAAACCAACCCTTCCGGCAAGTTTTAATGACCCTACCAAAATGAATGATTATTTTATGTCTGTTTATAGCTACAAACCTGTTGATTCACTAGTTTGCGAAAACTATTTCAAAAATAAATTAAGCTCTGAATATATTTTTTCATTAAATAAGATTAGTTCAAATGACGTATTACAGCCAATAGGGAGCCTAAAATCTGATGCGAAGGGAATTGATTGTATATCCCTGTCAATGATTCAGCTTTGCCTACCAGTTATTCTCCATCACATCGTCCACACCTTTAACGATTGTTTGGAAAAAGGCTACTTTCCAAACACATGGAAACAAGCTCTAATTATTCCAATAAAAAAATGAAACCCACTGAGTATAATGATCTCAGACCTATCAGTTTATTACCAATTTTATCCAAAATTTTAGAAAAAATTATAAAGTTCCAATTGACCGCTTACCTAGAAAAATTCTTTATACTTCCCGACACTCAATCCGGATTTAGAAAAAATTATAGTACAACATCTGCCCTACTTGATCTGCAAGACAATATTTTAAGTGCCTTAGATAAGAAAATGGCCTAGCCTTAATCTCTATAGACTATTCGAAAGCCTTTGACAGCATCAATCATAAATTATTACTTGCTAAATTAAATTACATAGGTCTTGACAGTGTATCCCTTTCATTTTTCGACAGTTACCTACATCAAAGAACTCAGTGTGTTTTTCTCAATCAAGAAATGTCTCAAGTGACAATAATTCTCTCAGGCGTACCTCAGGGCTCTGTATTGGGGCCGCTTCTGTTCCTCATATATACGTTCGACTTAAGCAAAAGTATTGATAATTCTCATGTCCAGTCATTTCCAGACGATACGCAATTGCTTCATTATTTTAACCCAGATAATGTCAATAATACTACTCAAATTTTACAAAACGATGTTAATAAATTAATTAAACACTCTTTAGATCACAATCTACTTATTAATTCACAAAAATCTAAAATTTTATTATTTTGCGCACAAAGAAAAACATACAATGTAACACAGCTCTTGAACATTCAGATAAATAACCAAATCTTGCAATTTTCTGATTCTGCAAAAATTCTTGGTGTTGTTTTTGATACAAAATTAAGGTTTATTGAACATGTTAAGAGTCTCTCAGAAAACCTACCTACGGCTGCGCACTCTTATAGCAAACAGGTATTTACTAAATTTTAAGTTGCGTAAAAAACTATTTGAAGCATTGGTCATATCAATACTAAATTATTGTAATATCGTATACTATACTTGTTTAGACAATTTCACTAAAAACGTTATTCAAGTTATTCAAAACAATTGTATACGATTCATTTTTGGCTTACGTAAATTTGATCATGTATCAGCGAAATATCCCGTTCTAAACTGGTTAAAAATTAATGACATGGTCAAGTATCACTATTCAGTTTTTGTTCACAAATTGCTGCTCACGTCTAAACCTTATTACTTGAAGGAAAAAATTCATTCAATAATGATGTTCACTGTAGAACTCTCAGAGAAAATAATATTAGAATACCCCTGGATACGTCTACACTTTTTAAACGCAGTTTTTCTTACAATGTTGCTATTATTTATAATGGCCTTCCTAAAGTATATAAATAATTTTCATTACCTGTCTTTCGACAAAAAGTTAAAACATTATTACTCAACCGTCCAAACATATAATTTACGTAATCATTCATTTCTTTTTTATTCCATCTTTAATTCAGATTAATAATTTTTTGATGCATTTGGGTTTGGAAAGTATGCCTTTGTCTCTTTTTTTAAATTTTACTTTCGTTGTAATGAACCAAATCTGTTTGTGGATAGTGTTTTCCTTTGAACATCTGCTAGAGACTATATGGTAAAGTGTAAGAGTAGCAGCATGCTAAACATCGCCATGTAAGTCTGACATTTGGCTATACTACAATGTAATTGTGGATAAATAAAGACGTCTATTATTATTATTATATAGGTACAAAGACTTTTACTTTAATTCTAATAAAGAAACTTTAAAAGTTTAAATAAACTAATAAATGTTTTTTATCGAAAAACTTGAATAAAACAAGTGTAGGTACCAATGAGACACTTGAGATTGCATGTTCTGTACCAGTTGGTTGATTCTAGGTTCTGTTTTTGCCGGAGCTATCATCAGGTCGCTATCGACATCAAGACGATTTCGCAGTTTAGTTTTAATTAAAACTAGAGCAGAAAAGTCTGTCTCACATAAGTAACTTGAAGAAAAAGTAACTAGTATTCGTAAAGCAAGAGGCAAGTGTAGAATTAACAGGCAATCTTTTGATCCAAAATTTCTCCAATGTTAAAAGATGGAAGTCATCTTTCATGGACGAATCACCCTTCATTTCTAGAAATTCTTCCTGTACTTCTTCTGGTAATTGTGACACATCGACAACAAATGGATTTCATGTCATGTGCCATATTGGTGACTCAATTGATGTCTCGATAGTATCGGCGAAATTCGTCTTCCAGCAAATGAGTTTTTATGTCAGCTTTTAAAATTGCGTCCAGTATGTTATGTTTAATTGATTCGAACAGCCGAGAAAAAGATATAACATTTTTAGAAGACACTTTTTGATTCCAAAGTTGAAGCTTTGATATGAACCCGTGAATGTAATCATAATTGCTTGTTATAGTGTTGTTTCTGCCCTGAAGTTTTAAGTTTAGATCATTCAAGAAGTCAAATATGTAAGTTAAATAACCCAACCACCATTGAAATGGGTCATCTTGAAACATTGTCAAGAAATGGTGTTTTTCTTTGAACTCAAGAAATAGAACTACCTCTTCTTTCAATTCATAAAGGCGAGCCAACGAGTTGCCTTTGGACAGTCAGCTTACTTCTGTATGGAACAGCGGAACTTTGTGATCAGAATCGAGATCCTCGCAAAGTAAAGTAAATAACCAACTGTTCAAAGCGCTGCTCTTGATGTAGTTTACAATCCTTATAGCCGAGTCCAAAGTCTGGCGTAATTTCTGTGGCAATGTTTTGGAAGCCAAAGCTTGCCGATGAATAACACAATGTGTACTAACCGTTGCGGGTTTTTTTCCTTGAGCTTTTTAGCTAAGCCCGGAGGTGCGCCATCTGCGCAAAGTCCAATGAGTTTTTTTAAATCCAAATCATTTTTTTCAACAAAATTTGATATTGAATTAAACATATCTTCAGATGTAGTACCTGTTGTCAAAGATTGGGAGTACAAAATCTCTTCTTGAATGATATCTCCGACGATGTAGCGAACTTAAACTATTAACTGTGCAAAATTAGCGATGTCGGTGGGTTCAACGCAAATAATGGCAACAAATGGCGATAATTTTACTTTGTTAATTATTTGTGACTTTATGTCTGCTGCAATGTCATCGATTCTACACTTGACTATGTTATTCGAAAGAGAAATAGACTTCATTTTTGCTCTGCATCTTCTTCTAAAATTATCTGCGTAGCTTTTAGGACACATATGGTTTTATTAATTCTTCACCGATAGTATGAGGTTTCTTTTGCTTTGCTATCATAAAAGCTATTTCAAATGAAGCTTTGAGATGCTGCGATACACCTGTGTGATAACCTCCCGATTTATCCAGTTTCATCCTCTTGAGTGATTCTGCTTTAGAAGAAAAAACTATTTTGTCTTCAAAACAAGAGTAGGATGTTATTGCTTCAAATGCCTTTCCGGGCGATTGGGCCTCATGCTATTGTTACTTAAAACTTTCATAAATATCACACACTGAGGCAATTGTAACTCGTCTATTTCTATGAAGATAAATCCAAACTTAAGGCGGCTCCGACGCAGTGAGTTTCAAGCAGTTTACAAGGGTTCAGCTGCTTCAAAACTGGCACTCCATTTTTCAATATTTTTGAATGAAATTCATACAGTATGTTGAGAAGATAATTGCCCAGGGTGCTATAGGAGCACTTTTTGAAATTTCGTTTGTGCACAAGTTTTATGATGGGTTGAAGTGCGCACTTTTTGTGTTCAACTTCGCGATTTTTTTAAAAAGAAACTAGTGCAAAAAATGAAAAAGTGGCTCTACAGCACCCTGTCGGGTGTTGTTTTCAGTACTCTGTGAAAATTTCATCCAAAAATATCAAAAAATAAAGCGTCAATTTCGAAGCGCGCAAACCTCTACAAATCGTTTGGACGAATTTTGTCTACTGTTTCGTGCTGCCAAACCAAGCGTTGCGGCGCAATGTACGGACTAAGAAAGGACGTATTCAGATAATTTGGTGGCCCTATTTCATATAATATCGCGTAGATAAGTCGTTCTGCAAATAGGTACTCATAATCGCGATCGTTGGTACTCCTCGATTTTAAAGCCGTTTTACTTCCCACGTCATTGTCGAGGAAGTATTGTAATCGCGAAAAATTTCTAAAATGAGATGTTTTTTTAAGTCATATGACATCTACATCACGAAAAACTGTATCACTCATCATCAACTTGGAAATTACCGCTCGGATTTTTATGAAATTTCCACACGCCGTTACTAGTATGCCAAAGCTTTGTAGTTTTAGTCCAATGGCAACGGTACTATAGGCAAAGAAGAAAAAGTAACAATTGCTGAAACTCCGTTTTCGACGTTTCAGGGGTTCCTAATCATTGACATAAAAAAATTGTACTGCTTAAAAAGGGGGGGTGAAATCAGTGAAACACGTTCTATTACTAAGAAGCTTCTGATCCCAGTGATTACAGGAAATTTAAGTATCGTAAATCCGACGAATAATGTGCTCACGATTTCAAAAAATCGGTACCTGCTCTATCGGTTTGACACCAACAGCCAACAGATCTGCAACTAGCGACAGTAGGGAAGAATAAATTCGGATATCACTCCAGTCAAGTATAGGGGAATTTAGCGTGGAACTTTAAAATTATCGATATGCCAAGGAAATATGTTTTTGAGAACGATCATTTGGTAGATTTTATACCTGCATTTTCATTTTAATTTCATAACCCGTGAAATGTACCCATTTCGCCGATACCTTTTGTGTTCTGCAGTTTGTGATGTTTTTCTGGATATAAGCAGGCCATAATTGCCTAGCGTGCTATTAGAGCTTTTTACAAAATTTTGTCTTTGCCCAAGAATTATGGTGGGTTGAAATGCTCACTATTTGTGCTCAACTTCTTGATATTTTAAAAAGACCTTACTGGATAAAATCGAAAAAGTAGATCGCTGGCACCCTGTGGACTTTGCTTTTAGCACGCTGCAAGAGTTTCATTTGGAAATAATAAAACATAAGCTGTGAAGTGCAAATCCGTGTTTGGGTGAAATTCATCAACTGTTTCGTCCTGTCAGTCCAAGCGACGCGACGGTGCGTTCCGACTAAGAAAAAATGTATTCAAACAATTTTATATCTTTCCTAAAATAAATTCAAGAACTCAAATTCTAATTCGTTTATTCATATCAATAAACAGAATTATGTTTACAAGGGGCGTGTGGTAGATGGTACAATTGAACGAGGGTCATAAAAATATCTTATGCCGTCAAAATAAGAGGAAACAGTTAGGTGGTTTTTGCAAAGCAATAAACAGGTAGGTTTTACCTGGATTAAGTACATGTCTTGTCTACTGTAATAGGTAGATGGAGTTGATGCTGCCAGAAATGGATGTGTGCGATCAATAAACAAACCACAAGACTGAACTGCCGTGTCCAGTGAATTTTGTATTGCCCTTTTTATTGCCTTACTAGAAAACCCTGTTGGGTATATGATGGAGTTTACTAGAACTTTACAGCTTGTTGTTTGCCTTCTTCTACAAACTTCACCAAATAGAGACGATGTCTATCTTATCCTCCACTTTTTCTAAGCTTCCCTAAACATTCTTGCTTAGCAACCTCCAAATCAATGTCGTTCATGTCAGGTTTTTGACAGAATTCGCCATAAAACTATTATATATTTTCTTTGGAATTGCTATCCGAATTGTTAGTTATGTTTATATCAACTTTTTTCGGTCTGAGTTTCTTTCCAAGGTCCTTGCGTTTGAGTCTTTGTTTCATCTTAGTGATAAGCGAGGATGGACTAAGTTTAGAACGCAAATGTATTTGGACCACATAGACAGGCCGCTCGGTATTGTGGCTCACTACAGCTGCAGCACATCTTCCATGGTATGACCTCTTCTTGCAATAATTTATTCGCTTACCCCAATGTGTTTTGCGATTATAGAGTTGAACTGCTCCACACTTTTGTTGTCCTCATCATGAATTAAACTCGCTGAATTCGTAATTAAAATTGTCGCATACGACCTTTTATTGTCCATTATCAACCTTGATAAAAAATTCACTCAAGAACAATCACACCAACAAGAGTACAACTCAACAATTCAACAACACAATATTGACGAACAGTAACAAGGGTAGAACAATACTAAATGATCACTAGATGAGTACCAAAATAGGAAACGATTTACAGGCTAGATCGCTAATCGAAATCCGACTCTGTAGTAGCGCCGACCACCGTCTAAGACCAGCCCACAATCGTTTCCTTTTCACCCCCCCGTTACCTCAGCAGATGGTGCTCGTGATTGTAGGAGCCCCGTTAACGTAATCTTTGGAAAATTTTCTTTTTTTCGCTGCCACGTTGCACCTATAACAATAAAACATAAGTATTAGATAAATAAGCAAAATACCTACATGTAACTAATAATTATGCCCATTATTTTATCTTAACAACGTAATATGTTCAACAGTATATTGGCTACCGGGAGATTTATATTTTTGTAAGCAGGATGACGTTATAATAGAAATTTTAAATATATTTGGAATCAATATTAGGTACCTACTTAAAGTTCGTCGTTTTAAAATTAACTCGTCACGTTGGTTTGATTGTGGTGTGATAAAGAAGTCCCAATGTCCGATCTATGAACGCGTCTCCACTCAATCAACAATTTAGTAAATTAAATAAAAATGGTAACTGAAGTTTGTAAATACACAAACTTACCTTTTAACGGTGAGACACGATAATTTGACGCACTCAAACATATTTCTCAACAAAACATGTACATCCAAACATCAAATTTTTCGCAAGTTTGTGGGAATGAATGTCACAGATGCTCCATCCGCGTTCATACTACAACTATTTAAAACTGTAATGACTCATACGCGTGATCAACACGTGATCAGAGCTCGATCCCGGCTTCCTTCCAGTACAGCCGTATAGCGTACGACATATGTCGTTTCTGTGGGTTTGCGGTGGTCAACAGCACAGACAAGAGATGGAAATAATGGCTGATTGTTATCCGCCGGTAGAACCAATGAAATCAAAGACGCGCCTCGACCGGCAGACTCACAGGCGTCGGCAACGCATTGGAACGTGTTTCGTTGAGCGATCGCATATTGTGTGTTTTATAAGAATTGTTGTGTGATTGTTATTGTTGTGGTTTCTGTGGTTACTGTTTTGGTTATACTTAACCATGGAGAGTCCAAATGGCACGAGTGGAAGTACTGAAAGCCAGGGAACAAGTAGACGGCTTCGTAAAGCACTGAAGAGGGACGCGAAAGAAATCGTGCTCAACGTGTTCAATTATCTGAACAGAACTATGTCGCAGGGAGATGCACTCGCGCGTTGTGAAAGTATGACAGGCGTTCCAGAGTGGACCATTCGCAGGGTGGTGCATGAAAAGAAGAAAACTGGAGCTACTACTGATCCAAAGTTTAATTTGAAGGGACGAAAGGCCGTTAAATTGGATGACGATAGCCAAATGGCGTTAAGGCGAACCGTACATTCATTCTTCTTTAGGAATGAGATACCAACCCTCAAGGCTGTACATGCAGCGATCAAGGAAAATGAAATTATACCCCAAATGAGCGTCGAGGTAATGAGGAAATCCCTGCACGAAATTAATTTTCGTTACGAAACGCGTAATCGGAAGTCAGTATTGAGACCTGAAATAGTCGTCTGGCGTCGAAAATACCTACGCGAAATTATTGAATATAGGCGACAAAGCAGAAAAATCTATTATTTGGACGAGACATGGGTAAATGCAGGCCACACAGTTAAACAAACCTGGATAGACAAAAACGTAGTGAGTAACCGACAAGCAAGCATTGAAGGTTTGTCAACAGGTCTTCGTGGATCGTCAGGGAAAGGTCAAAGATTGATCGTAACTCATATTGGTAGCGATAGTGGCTTTTTAGAAGAGTGTGACTTGATTTTCGTCTCTAAGAAAGGAGGTGATTACCATGACGAAATGAATGCCAGCTGCTTCGAGAGCTGGTTTCAAGGGGTGCTTCAGCGAGTTGAGCCCAACCCTGTGATCGTCATGGATAATGCTTCCTACCATAGTCGTCGAGCCGAACGTGTACCGACTATGGGATCTCGAAAAAGTGACATGCAGCAATAGTTGCGCGAAAAAGGAATCCCGTTTGACGATTCATGTGTGAAAGCGGAATTGTATGAAAAAATTAAACAGCACAAACCTGCGAACATTAGTTACGTGACTGATGAGATGGCTTGTCAATGTGGTGTCACTGTGCTGCGGTTACCGCCCTACCACTGTGAACTGAACCCAATAGAGCTCATCTGGGCTTAAGTGAAGGGTTATATTGCGCGCCATAACACAACCTTCAAATTACCAGACGTTAAGGTTTTACTTGAGACTTCCATACAGCTAGTAA